CTGCCTGGTTTACAGGGGGGCCCTTTTGTAGAAGAGGTCTTCTTTTCTCCGCTATGACACTTGGTTACCTACATCTGAGAAACTGCTCAGACATTCTCTCAACAAGTATAGGAAGGCATTCATACTGGAGGGGTGTTCTCTCATTCTCCATCATGTGTCAATCACCCCATTTGGTTTCAAGGTGCCTGAAAGGAATGTTCTGAACTGGGATAAAATGCCAACGTGCCCTCTGTGCAAATATCTGCCAACATACAGCATGTAGCTCTGTCCATCCCATCGCATCCTTTGCTCACTACCTATCTGGAGGCATGGCTTCAGAATGAAGAGGCACTGGGAAAAGAGCAGACACCCTTTCCCTTCTCCCACTAGAAGGGTAAGTGAAAACTGAACCTTTGGGAACCTTTGCAAAATAGGGGAAAAGAAGAGACAAGATCCAATGGAAGAGCTGTTAGGTTAAAACCAATTCTGACAAACCACCTCACCACAACACCGAGGATACGATTTTTGTTTCATTGCTGGTAACCGATTTCTGGCTCCCCTCTGCTGGGTTGGTCTTGGTGGTCTAGCACTAGAGTCGCAGCTGTCCCAGGAGTTTCATTAAACATCTCCTTGAAAGTCCAATAGCTGAACTTCGCCTCTAACACCATGGAGACTGTGCCGCCAAGAGAGGGCTGCCCTAGTGCACAGTCACAAGCGGCAGAGTTGGGCACTTCTAGTGGTATTAACAACAAAACAAAAACCCAACTTGCTTTCCACTGTTTTCAGTGGAGAATGAACTTGGATATGAAACCAAAAACCAAGTCCACCGCCCTCAATTCAATTCCAACTCACAGTGACCTTATACAAGGCGGCTTCAAAGAGTTCGTGAGAAAATGCCATGATCTTGTGATTCTATTTTTCCATGAACTTTTTGAAGCTCTCTTCTCAAAAAGGACAGAGTGGAACTAGTCCATAGGTGTTCCAAGGTTGTTATCGAAGCAGACTAGTGTAGTGTTCTCATGCAGAGCAGTTGGTGGGTTTGAATCACTCACCTCTTGGCTCACAGCAGACTGCTTTAACCACTGCACCACCAGGGATCCTCAACATGGGTATACTTATGGCCAAACAAGTAAAACAACAATATATAGTAAACCACAGCTGGCAAAGCTGAATGTGGGCTTAGTTCCAAATGGTGGTCAACCCATCCCCAGTATAGATTAGGTGCATAAAGAATTGCAAGGAAAAAGAGACACAGTTAATTATCAAACTTTAATTGATAGACTAGTCTTAACAGGATAAACAATACAGCTAGTCAAGGTTACACTTAAAAAAAAAAAAAAAAAAAAAAAAATATTTTTATATATATATACATACATATATATATATATATATATATATATATATATATATATCCAGCAGCGCACATCTAATCTACTAAATACGTTCATCTCCTCCCAAACAGGCATTTGATTTAAAAACAAAAATCAGAACAGAGCATACACAAGGAAACATGATACTTACATATATTGTCAAATAATTCTGTAGAACTCTTCAAGAAAGGGGTCCTTAAAAACTTAGAAAGCAGTAAACAGCCAGCCTGGCAGGTCAGTCTACCAGATGTTTTGCACATAAATGGGCTCCTGACCACCTGTAACTACAGAAAAGCCACCAGGCCCAAACAAGGACACAGGTGCCAATCCTAACTGGAGAGGAGTTTTATCACAAAGCCTTAAAACAAGGGACCAACCTTTTCCAAGACAACAGGCATGAACATTGGCAAGGAGCAAGAGAAAGAGGTTTCCCTTAGACAATGGGGTGTAAAGAAAGCCTGCCCTAGCACAACACTTGGCACACATATTCTACTCCCTTTCCCTTCGCTGCCTCAGGCAAAGCAAGGATGAGCCAAGTGCAAGGGCCCGGACGGCTCCTCCAGGCACATGGTTAAAGTAAGAAGAAGAGGGAACACAAGCCCCTTCTGGCTGAAATATGGCAACTTCTCAGGGACACGGCAACATGGCAAAGTCAATCTCTTTGGCCCTCATACAATAAAGCAGCAACTAGGAGCCTACAGAGGGTCTCAATCACGCCCCGCCGACGTCCATTACGTTCACAAGAAAGTGCATCCTTAGTTCAGTCGAACTTAATTTAGAAAGAGCTAATGCTAGTTGCAAAGGGCCCACCATTAGTTAATTAAAATACTTAATGCCGAAGAGTTCCCTCAACGCGACAGTCTGTCTTTCCTGTTTTCTGCCTGGACCGAGATAGAACTGAGAGGGGCCTGGCCCCAGCAGAGATTACGTTGACATTACTCTGCCAAGTCACCTCAGGGAGGGGAAAAGAGCATGATCTGTGAGTGAAGATCTGCAAGAGGACCGTCCAGACTCATTGTAAGGAAGCGTGAGAGAGAAGCACATCAAGGAGGCCCTGGGAGGCATCCAACATGGAGCAGAGGCAACCCTTAGGCCCCCTACTGGTGAACAGCCCTCCGGAAATCTCTAGCTTCAGCTAAGTGCCATCAGGTTGGTTCCAATCATAGGAACCCTGTATAGGGTTTCTGAGGAGCGGTTAGTGACTTTGAAGCACTGATTTCATGGCTAGCAGTCCAGTGCTCATTCTATGGCACCCAATCAGAGGCGGGACTCTAAATGCACATTAGAGAGTCTCTACTGGAAGCAGCTCTTCCTTTATCCATCTGTGTAAAGCAGGCAAAGAATAGCATCTCAGGGGCAGTACTGTCCCCTCTAACAGGTTAGAGACAGTGATGGAAATGTCCACAAATCATCCTGAGGAATACATAAACACGGGTAAGCTACCAAAGACGAAGAGTGTTCCCATTTGCCTACCTAGATTTAGTCGGTACATTCCAGACTGTGAGAAGATAGGAAGAGATCAGTCACAAACAGTGAGACAAAACAGAGAATACTGCCGTGGCTTCCCCTTACCCCCTCCAGTGGCCTCTGGTACAATCGACCTCTGCTCTCCCAGGAGGCCCACTCTCCCGAGAGCTTCTAGCAAGGTCTTCCATGCAGACCTGGTCAGGAGTCAGAGCTGAAGGCTGTTCGAGCAGATTTAGTGAGTTCTGTAAAACAATACATAGACTGCCCCGTACGAAAAGGTGTCATTTACATGACTGTCTCTCTCTCTATATATATATTCTTGAAGTAAGGAAAAAAGCACCATTTTACCTAAAATAAAAAAAGGCTCACGCAGGCTTTGGTCCTGTCTTGAAATGACATCAGCCTGGCTGAGAAGCGGCTTGGCTCCAGGGAGGAGGAGACAGTGAAACGCACACTCGCACTGGGTGGAAAGGGTATCAGATGGCACTGAGAGCCACCCCACTGAGGCAGGTGATGAGAAAAGCGGGAGGAGGCCTTTGAACACAGCATTTCGAGGCAAGACAGCAGATAGAGACTCCTGCTCTTGAGAGCTCAACACTGGGCGTGTGGCACTGCCACGGCAAGTCTCGAGCACAGGAATGTTGGCCAACAGAAAGGCTAGTGTGTGACTGGAGAGGATGTTCCACGTGCTGTGTGAACAGCCTCTGCAGCCCTGGCAGCCGCAGAAAGCAGCTCTGACATGGAGCACACAGTGGAAATCTCTTCTCCGGGAACTGCAGGTCAACAAGGACAGGAAAGTGCAGCTACTCCTTTGTCAAGGGAGGAAAAACTGACGATGCTGCTTCACATATGTCTGAATGGCTCCAAAAAAGCAAGCGTATATGGTCCTGCCTAGATGCAGAATTTGGCATCGCCTACACCGTGAAAAACTAGAATCTGTCTATATTGGCTGGATTCTGGAACTACAGCTTCAGAGGGAAGGGTGTGGAGCATCACTAGGAACAGTCATCTTAGGTGAACACATGCGAGTACATTTCACAGAGTGAGGGCTAACAGACTAGAATCCAAAATGAGAAGTTCGGAAAATCTCTCGCCAAACCTTACTATGAGAGCCTGCATCCAGTGAGAGGAGAATTGCAAAGACAGCAGCAGAGAAAACAGCACAAAGGGCACCTATCTTTCACCAGGAGAATTCTCCTTCATTTCAGAGTCAATCAAGCCACCGGGAGATAACAGAAGCTCACATGTACCAGGAAGGTAAGCGCTAAAACCAGAAGAGGGTGAGCGGGTCATGAACGCAATTTATCCCATTTTCACTGTTTAAATAACATCGGTCAACCCCACTAGGCCAGATGTCTTCTTCTTGTGAAAGGTAGCATCATTGAACCTGGGATAAAGGACACTTGAACTGAATGCATGAGCAGAAAGACCAAATGGAGAAGCAGGATTGAAGTAATCAATGGACTGCTTAAAAATCTTGAAAATTTCCCAAGACACAGGGTATCTGGGTCTGTGGCTACGAAGACAGTCGGCATACACAATCTTCTACCTGGCTCAAAGAAGCCTTTGTCTGCCTGGGAGCTGTGGCTTTTCTCAGCAGCACATGCCAGGCCTCAAAGCCAAACCAGTGATGGCTGCAGACAGCTATCGACCCAGCAGTGCAAATCCCCAGAGATGAGAGTGAAAGGGTAAGGCGTTGAGACAGGAGTCACGTTCAAACAATCTGCTGCCCAACAAACGCCAGAGCAAGGGTAAAAGCTCCCTGACCAAGAGTGAGGAGCCCTTCCGCCCCCACCACTTGTTAACAAACAGCAGTGTGGCGGCAGGAAGTCCAGGAAAGGGAGCGCTGATGAGGTACAAGATACCGGCATCTTTGGGTCTTTAAAATAAAAACTCAAATCTAGGAAATGAGAAATTAAGGGAAAAGAATTAAATCTGAATCAATGGACAGTAAAATATGGCTTACAAATTGCATACAATTTTATGGAAAAAAAACAGAACAAAACCCAAAACCCAACCTTTATTACAACGCAGTCCAAATGTTAGCAACCAAAGATTTATGAAAATATTTCCATTGAAATCATTTTTTAAAAAAAATCCTAATGCTGTGGATCATTCCCTTCTATACAGAACTGGCAGAGCTACTCTCAAACGCACGTAAGAGTATTCCACACAACACGCTCAGAATTCAGATTTATTGATTTCCTCCATATTGACTTTAAAAATGTTATGAAGCTGACTGCAAGAAAGGGAACCGGTGATTTTAAGTTAAAATTAATCTAATGGTGAAAGTACATCACCTCTGGCTTCAGTCACCACATCACCTTAGACTGGATCTATTTTTGAACAAAGTTCCAGAACTCTGAAATGCAGGGATGCTGCAGGCCTCTCCCAGCAATGTCCTTCCCTGTGGGTCAGTCTCCTGGGCCAGAGGTGAAAGTGCTTTCAAAAATACTGCCATTTCCCCAGCACAGTGTCTTTGATTGCATCCACATATTGAGTTGGAACCCAGTACACCCAGTAGTAAGAGGCTTCCGTGGGGCCCAACTGAAACGCCTGGAAGGGAAAAAGGAAAACCAAGCAGTACTTCAGCGATCAAGAGATTCAAGAGGCAGAACAATAAACGGGGAGGGAGGGAAGTAAGTTCATTAAAAAGGGAAGGACAACCAACAACAAACAATGCACCTGGGAAGCATTCTGACAATTCAACAACTGTGATACAAAAGTGGGCGAGTTAAACATAGCCAACCTCACAGCAATGGTTCTCAAACTCCAGGTTGCATCAGAATCATCTGGAGAGTTTGTTGAAACACAGATTGCTGGGCCCCATTCCTGAGTTTTTGATTCAGTGGGTCTGGGGCCCAAGAATCTACATTTCTAACCAGTTTCTGGGTCCTGCCATAGTGCTGATCCAGAGACCACAGTTTGAGACCCTCTGCCCTGGAGAAAGGACCATACCTGCACATGGACACGGAGCTGAACTCTCAAAACAGCATTATGAGAAATAGCAAAACCCTCGAGAGGAGGCACATGTCCATGTGTCAGGGAATGCAGAGCGCAAAGTGATATGACCGCTTCATCTGATACTGGACTACTTTGACAAGACATGACCTGGGTCTCTAGCTAACAGGGACAGAGCTTAACGTCCAACCAGAAAAAAACAAGTTGCAAAGCAACATAGACTCAGATACCATTAATGTCAGCGGAAAAAAAACACCACCACCAGCCCCACAAAAACAATGGGAGGAGGATACACATGAAATTCATGATAATGCTGACCGGGAAGAGGGGAGACGATGGGGAAGCTGTTGTCATTGGTAAATTTTATTTCTTTTATTTAAAAGAAAACAAAGCAGGCTACAAAATATTTACAACCGTCATGTCTTGGTGCTGATGTCTGGGGCTGTAAGCGTGTCTGCTTTTTTCTGGATTTTAACACTTCTCTAAAACGCAAAGCACCGGCATGCTTTTCTGATCGGTACTCTGACACAAGATCAATCTAGCTACTGAAATGGCATCTGTAAAAAGAGGGAAATTAAGCCTTTGGTTATAGAAGACACCCTGAGGTGATTCTTACTAGTGTTTAGAAAAGAGGGGCTCTGAGAACCACCTGCTTTCTGCCAGAAATGATTTCAGGCAGAAAAGAGCAACTGAACTCAAGTTACCATCCACACCATTCCTTTGAATATATTCAAGATGGTTCACTCAGTTTGTTTTAAATGCCTATCACCTGGCTGCTTCAAGGCCCCTTCAGGGCCAAATTGGTAACACAAATGTTTGAAAAGGGAATGAGGAGCCCAGCGGAAAATATCCAAAATCTAATTTTTAAAACAGAAAAAAAATCATTAGGGATGCAAAACATATCCATTGGCATAGCAGCCTGCAAACCTTGTTTTAAAAACTCCGCAGACCTTGGGCTGCCAGAGGGCCTGAAGAGGTCTCTAGGGTTGTCACCCCTGAAAAGCTCTACAGAAGTCAGCAGGGCAGGGCACATGCTAACCCACCAAACCGTGGGCCCCTTTGACTAACTGGTTCTTCCTATAGCGAGCAGACCTGTCTGAGAAGGAGAGCTGATGCAGGTCCCCTTTTCCTGAGACCTCCCCACACATCCATCTGCTGTGGACTTTGTGATGCCAACCCCAGTCAGAGCCTGAGTCACTCCTCCCTTAGATGGGGTCCCTCAGCTACATTCCCAAGTGGTGGCTACCAGCAGAAAACTGGTCTCCTTAGACAGAAAGCTGGCAGAAGGTCCTGCCCTTGCCCTATGACAATTCAGGTCAGGTCCAGTCATAACAATTTGGGGATTTTAGGCGTTAAAATGCATCTTTAAACTGACCCCTCCAACGAATCCTGAGTAAAGATCAGCCCCCTTCTCTGTCTACATTCCTCGTGGAGCCTTCTCACCCTCCTGTCTCGCTCGGAAGAATCGTCTGCTTCCTCACCAACACCAAGGATGCCCCAGGTTTTGTTTTCAGAGGCAAGACTAATTTTTAAATCACAGTCCAGAAACCATTCCTCCTATTTACATTTATTTTCCTGGTCTACAAACAAATTACAGATAAAGAGGGAGGCAAAACAAACCTTTCTAAAAGAAGCAAGAGAAAACCCTATCCCCTTTACAATTCTGTAGGGCAGGGGCTGCAAAATCAATGGGATTTGGAAGAGGGTCATGGATCAAGTTCTAAGAAAAAGAAAACATGAGTCTTGAAAGAGCATGCCTGCTACTGACAGACTCTCTCAATGAAAAAGCTTCCTGAGAAACCCAGTCCCTGCTAGAGGAAGCAGGAGCCTAGCGAGAGGCTGGGCCCAGCGGGCGCTACTTACCATCATGTGGTAGTCTTCATGTCCTTCAATAGGTTCACTGAGCACATTTTTAATGGAGCCCATGGGCAATTTCTCAGTCCGCTCTAAATTGACAGGGATTATAGTAATTAGTCAGAAGCCCTTAAGCACCACTCAGCAGGCCCTCCTCAGGGCAGGGGGATAGGTGTGTGTGCTGTGAAATCTAAAAGTCCCATGTCCTGCCCGCTAGGGATATTGAGACGGCATCTTCTGCTCAAGTGTATTTCTTGGGAGCAAATGGAGACCACAGTTTGCTAATGGTCTACAAAGCCTCTTTGAGAAAAGAGACTTATTTTTCCTGGTATTATTCTTCAGTCTGATGATTAAGAAACACCCACCCAGTGGTGGCATCTGAGCCAGAGACAGTCAAGAAGACCAAGACCAAAAGCCAGCAGCACCCCCTATGGCTCTCTCCAGGAATGAGTGCTTCAGGAGTTTAGACTAGTCTCTGTCCCTTGATCCTGTTCACTACCCCCCACCTGCCCTACCCCTCCCAGATAGCCCCATGGTCCCCCCCCTTACACACACACACACACACACACACACAAACACACACATTAAGAAGGGCCCTCAAAACATTTATAACCTCCTCTGATAGTTACTTTAGGTACCACTTATACCACGGTGTCAAAAACATTTTGCAGCAACTTTAAGAATGGCAGATAAGAAAGAGGCAGCAGCGAGGGAAGCCTGGAGTGAGATGGGCGTGCTAGAGGGGGGCCGAGTACAGCAGGGCCGGGCTGATGGTGGGGCTGTGGGAGGCTGAGTACAGCAGGGCCGGGCTGATGGTGGGGTTGTGGAAGCCCTGCCCTGCCCTGTCCAAGAGGAAGTGACCTCCTGGAAGTAGCAGAGCCCTCAGGACCAGTGGCTAGTTCTCAGCAAACAAATCAATTTGGAATAACCTCATTACAATTGTCTCAGAAAAAAAATCTGAAAAGGCAAAAATTAAAAATAGGTAGGTTGACAAAACTAAGACCTGAGAGACCGGGGTATGTTCTCTAACTGGTGACTAGAAACTATAGGTCTCTTACAAATGGGGTAGGACTGGAAGACTCAGGACTTGACTTTTACTAGCTCTTTACAACATGTGATCAGCAGTTGTGTTTAAGACTGACACTTTAAAACAAAAACCAAAAACACCTGTGTTCTTGAACTGTCCAGAGATTTCACACAAAAATCCAATTTCTGGCTTCTCTTGAAAACTCAGAAGATTTAACCATCTTTGTCCCAAAAGTTCTGAATAACAGCGATCCACTAGATTAGACGTGACCATTCCCTACAAACAGGACAAATGTCCCCTCCCCAAGTATGTCAATCGCCTGGAGTTTGTGTTTCTCCCTCTGCTGTGCCTAGAGCTGCTTGTACTACGTCCTACACACAACTCCCTGGAGAGCCTCATTGGTCAAACCCCTATCCCGAAGCCAACTGGCTGCTTACTAGTCATCCTGTGGCAGCCTCTTGTCAATAGAAATATGAAGCTAGTGGCTAGGGGTCAACGTTCTGAACAAACTGTCTTCCTATGAGAGTGCTTGACAGGGGATAGGGCGCACAGAAGGGAGGGCCTGCCCCCACAGTGACACAGTGCTCTCGTGTGGGGATGCAAATCTCAAAGTTTTGAAGCTATGGTCAGCGTCTGAAGACGAGAGTGGCTTCTGACCCTTGTCTTTCAGGAGACTGGGAGGTGAGGAAGGGAGCTTTCAGTAGCTGAAGCAGAAAGTGGTTGCTCCTACAAGCTAAAATCCAACCTGCAATACAGGCACAAGCAATTCTGGTATTTGTTTGTGGAGTCACAAATTGTTTCCAATACAACCTCATAACACGAACACCATCTTAAGAAACCAACAATCACTCACAGACTTTGTCTCCTTCCAGACACCTGTCTTGACTTTAACACTACATCTGCACACCTGGTCATATCATCCAGCTCCATCAGTCTCCACAACTGCCTTCAACTAGGATGCCCACCAGGGAGAGTCTAGCAAGAGGCAGGATTTCAGCAATTTCAGTCACTGCAACGCAGAGAATGAAGCAAAACTACCTGCAAAGTCCCTGAGAAGTGAGGCTCTGACAAAGGCAGGGAGAAAACGCCGCGGGAGGATGCGACACGCTCTGTGGACAGAGTGTCCTGATCAGTAGAGGGGTGAAAGGCCTTGGGATACTGGGGAGCCCTTTAATACTCTGCAAAACTTGCTTTGACCATGCAGTTAGAGTCAAAGGTGAAATGAAGAATATAGCAAGTCATCACAAAATTGTTAGAAAACTCAAGCGTTTTTGGCATTTCAGTCGTTCATTTAAAGAACCAGCATAACTGTTGAAAATACAAAGGTTCGTTTCATATTTTAGATGATACATTGCCATTCCCCAACCCCCCTGCCCTAATTACTTTTCATAAAACTTTGGTCCCATTCTAGGTAGTTGCACACTAAGTGGTCTGTCTCTGAAGTCAATTAACCACCAATGATGGGACCCCCTATACTTCTCTTTAGCATTTACCTCGCACACTGAATACCTACAGTGCTGGCCAGAAACAGGTGAATTGGGCATGTTCCGTTCCCTCCAGGAATCTACCAGGGACAGACAAGTCAGACAGTAATGAGTGCTCTGGGGTCTTGGGGTCGGAAGAGAGCGTTCTAGGGACAGAAGCAGCAGCAGGTCATTGGGAGGGAGAGGGGACTAGGGCAGCCTCATTAGGAGTGGACATTTCAGCAGGGCCTTGGAAGAATGTAACAACCAGGAATGGGAAGAAAGCATTCCAGGTAAGGGCAAGGATGGACAAAGGCATGGAGTTGTGCAAAGCATCCTGAGATGTCTGGGGACAGAGGCAGGGGCAACACACAGGACGCAAGGCAAGCAGGACAGGAAGCTGGATCAGAACTGGAGCCCGCAGTTGAGAATACAAGGTTCAGGCATCTAAACTCGGCCTAGAGAACCAGAGGTTTGGGGGCTCAGGAACCAGTGACCAAATAAAAAAACCAGTATGGAAGACAGAGAGGACAGAGGAGAATAGCAATAAGGGCAGGAAAATAGGTTAACTTGCTTTCAACAGACTAAGTTTCAAGATTCTAGAAGCCCTACGTGGCCAAATATAATGACAGAGAGACATGGACCATGTGGAGTACAACTGGCAAGACTTTGTAGCCACTGGGGGAGGGGTAAGCAGGACAGTCAAGAGACACTTGCCAGCAAGTCCGATCCAGATGCAGGGCACAGGCAGGGGGGTCAGGCAGAAGGCCACCAGGCAGGGAGGGCAGGCCAGGTTCCTCGGCAGCAGTTAGGAAAACATCCCCTAGCAGCATAGGGTCAAACCCCTGACCTCTGGGACTACACAGGCACCATGTGAGATTCATGGGAGCATTCGGGACTACAGGATGATCTCCAGAAGCAACGACCAGCTCCAGCCTATTGTCACTGTGTGAGAAAGAGCCCGCAGGGACAAGGTCTTTTGCTGTTTTTCAAGAGAAGCCAAAAAGAAAGAAAGAAAAAAAAAAAAAAATCGAGATCTCCCAATACTTTTTGGATCATGTGTAAACCTGTGGAGCAGACATGGCTCATGGGCCACAAGTTTGGGACCAGTAATGCTGTCTGTGCAACTTAAGAGCCAATGTTTAATGGATGGGCACTGAGAGGAGGCGAGAAGAATGAGGGCAAAGAGTCCAAACAAAAGGCAAGCATCTACAAGCAAACTCAAAAAGCCAGAAGCACGCAAAGCCCAGTGAGGAGAGAGAGAGTTCAGAACGAGGACCGGAACTACCTCTGGGGCCAGAGGCAGGCAGGCGAGCCAGGAAGCAGAGAAGAACACCCAGCATGGGCGGTCGTACCTTTCGTGCCGATCCACAGCTGGTCTTGTTCTAGCTTAAAGGTGAGTCTCACTTTCCCTCCAGACTTATTGTACATGCCAGACAAGGGCACCGTGGGCAGACGCTCCTGAAGGCACAAGAGCATGGTGAGAGGGGGGAGGGGCGAGAAACAAAGTAAGACAGAAAAAGAAGAAACTATAGGGAAAACCACAATTCCAAGAATCTCAGGCAGTTCAGGAAAGAGGAAACATCACAAACCCATCTGGCTTACCTGGGCACCTTTGACTGACGGCATCACATCTTCAGGTTTTCCTTTATCCAACACTTTCCTGTGTTGCTGTAACATAAGTTAAAAGAAAGTAAATGACACCCACCTCTATAAGAAAAAGACAAAAAACCCAATTAAACAATGTGTGTATGACATGAACAGACACTTCACCGAAGAAGACATTCAGGCAGCCAGCAAACATATGAAGAAATATCCATGGTCATTGTTGTTGTTGTTAAGTGCCGTCGAGTCGATTCCGACCCACAGCAACCCTGTATAGGGTTTCCAAGGAGTATCTGGTGAGCTTGAACTACCAACCTTGCAGTCTGACACATTAGCCCACAGTGCCACACCATTTCAAAACAACAATTGGGTATCATCTCACACCGGCATAAATAGTAAAATTCAAAAAACAACAAATGCTGGTGAGAGTGTGGAGCGACTGGGGCCTTCCTATACTGATTGCTGGTGGAACTGTAAAATGGTTCAACTGTTGTGGGAAATGGTATGGCGCTACCTCAGAAAGCCGGAAACAGAAATACCTTACAACCCAGCAGTCCCTCTACTTGGTAGATATCCACAAAAAACAAGAGCCGGGACACAAGTAGATATATGCCCACCAATGTTCACCGCGGCACTATTCACTTCACAAGTGCAAAAAATGGAGACACCCTAAATGCCCATCAATGCACGAGTGGATAAACAAACTTTGGTACCGACACACTATGCAACACTGAATCTGCAAAATACCTCATAACATGGTTGAACCTGGAGGACATGCTGAGTGAAATAAGTCAATCACAAATGCACAAATATTATATGAGACCACTACTGGTAAAAACTTAAGAAAAGGTTTTCATACTAAAAGAAACATTCTTTGATGGACACTAGGAATGGGAGGGAAGGGAGAGTAATTCCCTGGCTAGAAGGTAGACACATGTTAACTTGGGTGACAGGAAGGGCAATGTACAGGAAGAGGGAGTTGGCAGAAGAATGATAAGACAGGTGAAGACATAGAAGGTTAGCAAGGGCTCAAGGGAAGAGGTAAAAAGTAATATATATACAACACCTTGGAACCACAATATTCTGTGTACAGATACAATGACAGAGACATAGGCTGAATGTTTATGGGAGGAAGAGCATGATATATATGCCACAAATACCTAAGAGTTTGAAAGAGAATATTTGTACATGGGTGACTACAGGGAAGAGGCGGGACAACTGTTATTACATGGAGGGGACTGCAATCATTGAGATGAAAAAAAACATATGATGTGTTGAATGTAAAACTGATGATCTGCTCTGTAAACTTTCACTCAATTCACAATATTAAAAAAAAAATGGCAAATGAACTAGTTGGCTACCTTTTACTCATATTACTTTGAAAGATAGGATGAAGAAACCGTTAATGTTTTGGTTGAAAACATTTCTGTGTCTACAAACAAATGTTCCTTTGACACTCCAAAGCAATGCTGTGCTATGATGGGAGTGCTCTGTATCATGCCATCCAAAATGGTAGTCACTATACACTTGTTCTACTGAGCACTTAAAAATGGGACTAGTAACAGAATCCTGCAACACATCAGAAAGATAATACATTATGATCAAGTGGGATTCATATCAGGGATGCAAGGATGG